AAGTAAATTATAAGACACAATAACAAAAATTAGTCTATACAGTGATCAATTGCCATAGTTACTAATTGACAAATTACAATGAAATTATCTAAAATAAATAGAAAATCAATGAAACTGAATGAGAGTAGACAACAGACAATAATGAGAATTATGGAACAAACGGAACATTGTACTTAATGAACAAATTAAAATTTTGTAATGACAGCAGTTAACAGTAAAAATGAAGATTTAGTTGTGTATAATTAACAAAATTAAATATTGTAATGACAGTACTCAACAGTCAAAAAGAAATCAAAATCATCAAATTACTATCTCAAATAACTAATAAATTGTAAATAAACGAAACAAGATGGCCGTTGTTAACAGGCAAAAATGAGAGTTAAGTTATACTTAATTAACATCTTGAAAACTTGTAGTGACAAATCAACAAGCTATAGGATTTCAAATTAATATCCAAATTAACAAATAAACCATGAATAAAAAAAATGGGCATAAGCCATCAGCCAAAGAGATAAAAATAGAAAGTTCAAGAGTTATGTTGAGCCTAGTATCTTGTATACCATTCTTTTATTTTTATATATAATTTTTTGTTGTTTTTTCCCCCTTGAATTTGTAGTATATTTCCTATATTCATAATAATAATAATAAACATTGCATAGTTACTGTTGAAGGGCAAGTGGCAATTATTATTAATTGGTGTATATAAGAAAATAAAACAATAATAGAAGAAGAAAAAATTACAAATCAATTGTAAAAAATGTATCATGCAAAATGCAACAGGCAAAAAAGAGATGGTGTTCGACTAAAGTAAAAAAATTGACATCGTATTGTCGGTAAAGTCTGTTTTTATTATATTTGTTTTTATAAATAATTAATTGAGTTGTTTTGTTTCCTCTTGTGTTTTCTATTTTTTGTTTTATCTAGTAAACCTGTCTTTTGGTTTCTTTTTCAATTCTCTTTTTGATGTAACTTGTGTCCTTTCATCAGGCAGTGAGTTGAGCAGTTTTGGAGAGCTGTTTTAAGCATTCTTTCTTCATATTTATTAAGTTTCTGGTAGTACGAAATTGTGTTTACTTGTAGTTTCATAATTGTGCTCACTGATTTTTATATATTCCTCATTGAAAAAATTTCTTTGTGAAATTTGAAATTCATGCAATTTCTAACGGTCATGATTCATGATATGCACTGCTGTACTCTCTTCCAGGGTAATACCTACATTGGTTATTGATGCAGATCCCCATACACAAATTCCATGCCTGATCACAGATTATTAATGAGAAGTAGATGAAATTGAAAATTTTATAAGACACAAAATCTTTAATCCTCATTAGTTTCCACACACATTCTTAATTTTTTGCTTAAATCCAAAATCTGCCCTCTCCGGCTTCGAGGCTTATTTAAAGTTATGCCCAAATACTTCAGTTTACTTACAGAATTAATTATACTGTTACATTGGCAGTTCTCAAAATTTTTGTGTATACAATCAGCTTAGTAAAAGAGTATTTTAACTTGTGTTCTTGCAATTTTTGGTGCTGTGATGTGCAACATTTTAGTATTTTTCTCATTTATAATTTGCCCGTTGTCATATCACCAGTTTTGGAATATCTCAATTTTTCCTTCTTGATACTACCCCACATGTTCAAGACAAGCTGAATCTGCAACTGTCTGTGAAATTAACCTAATTACTTGATATTCTAGGTGTTAAAATTGCACAGGCGTACCTCTCAGTTTGGTAATGAACTTAAATAATATTCCAGTAAGCATTGTGTTATTATCATGTCTATAAGACTGAATAAACCTTTATTCAAAACTCGAAGTTTGTTTCAAACATCAGTTCAATTTCATTGTTTGTTATTTGTATTTTAAATTCCGTAAATACATTTGAAGTTAACCATCATATTTTTTTAAACAAATAAATATGTTTTGTTAACAACTTCCCCTCATATTGCCTCATATGCGAGAGATCTCGCATGAGTGGTCTGGTAATAATAATAATTGAATTGGTTTTATTACTTTTTCCATTTGTTGTTGGTGGTGGTAAGTCTTTGCTGACTTAACAATTGCTTCCCTTACAGATATCAATTTTGCATACAATTTTTTGGATGATGATAATAATAATAATAACAACAACAATTTGTACGACCAACAAATTCAAATAGATTGCACGATATCAGGAAACAATTCAGATATTGTTATGTGGTATTCTGCGATAAAAATCGTAACCAAGGAGGCAGAGTAATGTCTCAAATACAAGAGTCTGGAAATCAAGATCAGCTGAATGTGGGGCTTAAAACGACAGGTCATACCAATAGTCTGGAATTTGTTCCGCAAAATTAGAGTAAGAACTTGGCTAACAGGTCATTGAAAAGACTGGAAAGTACAAGAAATTGCTTCATTTGGAACAGCCAATTTTTGTGCAAGTTTTGTAGAGGCACAGTCAGTCACTAGATCTGCTCCTTAAGTAGCTGATTGCAACTTGGAGAAGATTTTATACTCGGCCAACTCATAACATCTGAAGTCATAATATAGAGGAATTATTATTATTGTTGTTGTTATGGTGATGATTTTTATAATGGCAATCAAAGATAGTGTGCTGAACTAGGGACTACGAAAAACTTTTCATGAACACATTGCATAGTTGAGAAATGTAGGAAATGCAGCACCAGTGGTGAAACAATTGAGCATATAGTAGCTGGGTGTACTGCACTGGCTGACAGCACGTACTTAAGGAGACTCAACCAACTAGTTAAGATTGTCCATCAACAATTGACTTGTAAGTATGGAATGTCAAATAGTGGAGGTCCTCCATATTATTAATACAACCCAGCACCTGTAATGGAAGCAAGTTATACCATCATTTACTGCGACAGACCCAATATTAACAGATAAAACTGTGGCCACGGATAGACCAGATATAGTTTTGATTGACTTGAAGAAGAAAGAAGATATGCTTGTTGATATTGCAGTACCATTGACACACAACCTAAAGAAAATAGAGGCCAAAAAAATGACTAAGTATGAAGATCTTGCTTTGGAAATAATACAAATGTGAAAACTACAGAGTATAACAAGATATACACTTGCTATTTCTGCTGAAGGTGTAGTAACAAACAATTTCAAGAAAAATCTATTTAAAAAAATGGGATTACCTCAAAGAATTCTAAATTACAGAAAGTAGTGATCCTGCAAACAAGTCATATAGTTCGCAAGTTCTTAAACTAACACCATTGAGGCTCCCATATCAGTCTTAGGGGTCAGAGTGAAATCTCTCTTCCCTGTAACTGAGCTCTTTCCTCAAAATGGCAAGAATGGGCAAATTGAACCCTACACAAGCTTCTGTGGATCACAAGAGATGATGATGATGATGATGATGATCAAATGGAAATATTAGCGCAGTGTTAAAATCATTAATATAAATAAAAAATAACATTTCTTAGTGGCAACTTTGCAGAACTCTGAATTGCAGATAGAAGGTATAAATTTAAATTCCCTGTATCAAACTGTCAGAGTTGTATTTGCCAAACCGATAATCCAATTCAAGGAAAAACTATGGGTGTTCAAAGCCTTAATTTTATTTATCAAAATATTCAGATTGACTTTATCAAAAGTTTTTCTAAAGTTGGTATAAATCACATTGTGATACGAAATGTTCATCTCTTAAGGCCAGATGGATATTGAATGGCCACTAGTCGCAGCTTACATCCAGATCTCTGGTCGCCACCACAAGCTGCTGGTGTAATATTCTTCATGGCTTAATCTGCATATTAGGTGTCTGCTGTTGTTGCACAGCCAGAAGATATCGGAGTGCACTCACTACTTATGGCTGCCACTAGTGGCTTAACTGATGCGTATTACTACCAACTTCACAATGTTTAATCTTGAAAATGTTTGATACTTTTGATTTGCAACGTCAAAACTGGTCTTGCTAGTTGACACTTTCTGATAATCTGAATTTTCAATGTAACTGTTCCATTTTTTTCCAATATCTTATCCTGTATTCATTAATATTTTATTTTAGTAGAACTATTCACTCACATTAAAGTAACAGCTAATGTTTTCACAGTGGTGATGCTTCACTTCAGTTTTTCATCTCAATGTTTCAAGAAACATGCATTGCCAATCTTCAGTCATCAATAGACATTGTGTGCTAGGGAAGGTAATTGATTAAAAGAATTCATACTCATCGTAAAATTGTGAATTTGTCTTCCTTTTATGTATTTTAAGCTCATTAAAAAGCAAGGCTAAAGTTCCACATTCTTGCCATGTAAAAGTGGAGTGTCCTTGTAAAAATATTGCTTTGCTACAATCTGTGCTTTTTATGCCTCCATAGCAATAGCATCAATACAAGTATGTTAATAATTGAAATATCACAGCTGACTGAAGTGCGACCAGTATTGGCAGACTTGTGACCAAGATAGCCACTAATGACTGTATATTGGCACTGATGATGGCCTTTGTGGTCACCATAACTGGTGTCAGCCTGTTTGCAAAAAAAGAACAAAGAGTTTCAGTAATGATCAGTATTTTCTTTTTCTGCACAAATTGTGTACAGTATGTCCCAGATAAATGAAATAAAGTTGACTTTTTTTTTATTATTAAGGGCCTTGGTTGCAGTTATAATTCTCCTTTTATTGCTATATTAAAGATGCTGTGAATGTTTATTTTGTTGTGACTAAAATCATTGTTTCAGGTTAAATGAACAGTTGCTAGCAGCTGTTACATCCAGACCACCACCTTTTGGACAGGGCATTGGAGCCCCTAATCTGAGTCAGCCTCCTCCTGGATTACCCTTGAGTCTTCAACAGTTATCTCAACCCCCTCCTGGGGTTAATTCAGGTGATCAAACACGAAACCCGTCAAGAATAGATCAAGACCCATCTACAACAAAGGACTCAGAATTCTCAGGAAGTAGAAATAGGGAAAGAGAGAGAGATCGTGACAGAGGTAGAGACAGAGAAAGAGATCGAGGGAGAGACAGAGAGAGAGATAGGGACCGAGATCGTGATAGAGATCGTGACCGGGATAAAGAGCGGGACAGAAGTGATAGAGATCGTGATAGAGATAGGGATAGGGATAGAGAGCGGCCCTCAAGGTGGAGTGAGCGAGATCGGGATCGTGATAGAGAAAGAGAGCGTGGTGATAAGGATCGTGAAAGAGGTAGAGACCGCGAAAGAGGTGACAGAGATCGTGACTGGAGAGAAGCTCAACATAGTGAAGAACGGGATCGACCGTCAAATAAACCAACAGAGTTGCCAAACCCTTGGGCAAATCCTCCACCTCAGCAGCAACAGCAGCAGCAGCAGTTTGAAGAAAAGGAGAAGCCTAGCTTATTGGAGAGACTTCGAAGCCTTGCGAATGATGGGCTTCCTACTTCATCTAGAGAGGAAAGGTAAGTCGATTTTGTAGTGTCCATGTAAGTCTGTGTTTGTTTCTTTTCTCAATAGCTCCAGTAAACAATTACTGTAAAATTCTTATTTTAAATAATTTTAATACTAATTGGTCGTCCATGTGATTTTCAACAATTCAAGTATGTGTATTTATTTGATTCCTATCTGAAGCTGTACAAGTAGTAAAAGTGAAGCTGAGATCTCTATATAGAGATCCCTTGTGTTCACCGGTCTACTAGAGCCAATCTCTGGATCGCCATCGAGAAAGCTTTTGAGAGAAGTATTGGGGAGTGATCTAGAAAGCATGAGTGAGACTGATAGTATGACTTCAGTAATGTGAATGGTTTCTTTGATATTAGTTAATACCAAGCAAAATTTCAGATATCACACCCCATGTAGAAAAATTTCATAACTCAAAAATTTAATTTTCAGTTGCATACATATTTTAAGTGAAATTTGAGTCTTTCTTCCTACCAGAGTGACATTTCTTTTTATGCCTATTTTGAATTATTAGTGATGTTTGTACTTCATGAACTTGATTTGATAATGTAATTTTAAAACTTTAAAGCACTGTGCTGAAAAATTATTTTTTTTTCCATTACAACAGTTTTCTACTGGGGGAGGGTGATATGTTGGCTAACTTGCTGGAGCTGTTTTATTCCCTATTACTGTAGTTTTTTTTTTAACCAACTGAAGAATGTTTTCATGAAATCAGTGCATTTATGGAGCTAGAATGCAAGCACTCATTTCATCTGGCTGTCAGAAGAACAATGTAGTCTTCGGTGACCCTCAACTGTTTAATGTAGACTGTTAACTGTAGAACCTGTCAAAAAATGTGTTCTGGTCTGAACATAGCATACATGTGCCGAGTATCTTGTGTAAGAGAGGTTGAGAGTGCTTCTCGAGAATTTAAAATGTCATAGACCATGCTCAAGAATGTCTGCCTTATTTTACCAAAGTTTACATTTCACCAAAAAAAACACACACACACACACACACACACACTGAATACCGTTTTCTTTCTTTTTTTAAATACATGTGAAGGAACTTGATGAGACCTTTTCCTCTTTTTTGCTTTAGATCAGTAAATTTAAAAAATATGTACATATGTGCAAAAAAAGCTTCCACTATCATGGAGATGAAATTTTAAAAAAAATGTGTTAGGCTCAGTGCATTGAAACTTTGTTACCAAGAGCAAAATGTAACCATATTTACATTTTCCATTCCATTAAGTAATATAACAGCCTTTTTTCTCCATAACCATTAGTCAATTGTCCATTGCAAGTCTGATTTTCATTAAAAATTGTCAGCTTTAAACAATGGTACATCTTTGAAAATTGCCATTTAGAATTTCCTGTGCAGAAGAAAGTGTTTCCCAATGCGGAAGAATAGGATACAATTTACAATATTATATTACATAGCTCTTACAAATAATACAAGAAAAAGTATGAGCTTGTTGTACTTCCACAAGATATCCTTTGACATTAAAAAATTAACATGGCAGCAATAAATTAATCTGTAACTGTAAATATTCTTATGAAGCTGTAGCTTATATGCATTGTATAATAATAATAATAATAATAATATAGTACTCGTGTGAGTGTGTGTGTGTGTATATATATACACACACACACATACATATTTATGCAATTATTTTGTAGACATACATTTGGAGGTCGTGAAGGAAGATCTGCCCACGACTTGAGCTCTGCAGAACGCAGTCGTGATCGTGATAGAGATCGTAACAGGGACAGATCAAGAGACCAGGAGAGAGAGAGGGACAGAGAACGGGATGGAAGTTCTAGTCAAAATGCACCTCCATCCTTGCTTGATATGCCAAAAATAACTCCTCCTGGTACTTCTGGAGAAAGTGGCTCTCAGAGTTTATCAGATAGCCACTTAGGACCTGGAACACCTTCGGGTACTGGAAGTAGATTTTCTGGACCACGTGTTCCTCCAGGACCTGGTAAGAATAATTTTTTAATTTGAATTATTAATTCTGTTCCTAACATTGCCTCGTGGATCTCTCGAGTGTTGTTGTTTTTCCTGTTTAGCATCTGTTAGTATATATTAATAGATCAATACCAATGAAATTCTCTGTATATTATGTTGCTGAATGGTATTTTTTGTAAACATATCAATGAAATGATTAATGTTGTTTACTAATTTCCAATGAGAATGGTTACTTCATAAAAATGTATAGTTGCACTGGAATGTTGAAAAACATTTGCATAAAGAGAGATTATATTATGTTCCACAACGTTAATCTTTTATTGTTCCAAATTGTATTTTGTTTGTGTACATTTTGTTGGAAAACATTTGTGTTATAATTATAGTCGGCTTAAAATAAGAAACGACTTGGGAGTGTGTTGTGTTGGGGAGCGACGCTGTCATGCCAAGAGCGGCGGATCACATACTCGAGTGCTGAGGACCACCTGACCTCGGTGACATAAAGTCTCGTGGTATTACAGTGGGTGGATGACCGTAGGCATCATTATCACAACTGCATTATTCTTGCTATGTCAAAAGCTGCTCACCACTTCCAAACAGACCAAGGAAGCACAATAATTTACCCCGGTATGTTCTCTGATATTACAATCTCAAGAAATTCCATTCTATTTACACTAATTTAACACTTTTAATTTCCAAATAAATGACTGCTGCAAAGGAAACACTTTCACTCCACATTTCAGATTCACTTTCCTCTGATTGTTCAGAAGTGTTAGAACTCGAAGGTTGAAGAGAAATAATAAGTTCTTCAAAATTTTGTTCCACAATTCCTTCGTCTTCCCATGCCTTTGAAATTTCTTTCTCAATATGACCCATCACCTTGCTTTGTAGTTCTGCGGTTGCCCTCTCCACAACTTCATTCATGAGCTTTTCCACCTCGGGTATGTAAATTTTGCATTCTTCTTTGCCACGTAACCTTTAGTTTGTGCTGAAATATTCTCAATGGCATTAAAGTGACAGTGGTATGGCAGCAATTAAATCACCTCAAGTCCACGTTTCTTGGCCAATTCATCAATAGCATATACTGGAAACTCTGGCTTTAATTTTACTTCTTCCAACAGATCTGCTTTTAACAAATTCTGGATATCTTCAATGTTAGAATTTTGGCACACCGACCATTCAACAATGTGAGAATGTTTTCTATTCGCTATAGTTGGTGCTTTGTTCACAATTACAGAGTGGTAAGGGATGTTGTCCATAACTATTTTTGAAGGTTTCCTCAAATTAGTAACAGTTTTCTTTCAAACTACACTCGAAACCTGCCCTCATTCATTTCCTTGTGGTAGTTGCTGGTTTTTCTTGACTGAAAAAAAATAACATAATTTTGTATGAACCCTTTAGAAGTTTCAGCATGAACTAAAATTATTATATTCCCTTTAATAATGGGCACTGCCATTGTTCCTTTGATAGTGACGTCTGTCAATCCTTTACTGCAGTTATCCAAGTCTCTCTAACCACACGCTGTCATCTAAATTTTCTTTAAATAGCCTCCTTAAAAATTACCACACCATGCCTCAATATCTGGACATTCCATAACTACTTTTCTACCATTTATATTTTTGTATTTAAAACCCAGGTTGTGTAACACATTTCTTAAAGAAAATTAGCTACCCTGAAAAAGATAACTTTCAGCCTTCGAGTTTGTTTAATGTGGGGTGCTCCTTCAGGGAATAAAATTCATAAATGTGTTGGTGAATTGCTTCATTCTGAAAGGAATTGATGTTGGTCACACGTTTTTCTATTCTTCTGTTCTTTCCTGGCGTTCTGAAGCGATTCCCCTTGATCTTCCTTTGCTCCCATTTTCTCTTTGCTTGCCTGCTGCAGTTCTCTCCACAACTTAACTTACTGCCAACAGTGGCCCATTGTTTGCTTTCTCCTGCTGGAAATACTTTTGCATTGCAGCATATTTCCTGCATCTGACATTACAAGAGAGAACACCTCGACCAAAATTCTTTCTTTCTTTGGGGAGATGTTTTCTGGTGTGTCCCCTCTTACTCTCACTACTTTCCAACATTTTGTGTACTGCTATAATATTCACCCCAAATTATCTGCCAGAAGAAGCACTACTCGCAATAACATTGCTCAAAAAAAGAAACACAAAACAGAATCCAAAGCACAAGCAAATTTTGATTCAGTGTAGTGCATCATCACTGACCAGCAACTGTAAGTTGCGAAGCATACAAAATACAAGACAGGAAAGGGACCTGAAGGGGCTCCTAAATCTGTCATTGCGCCTTGCCAGGGCGGAGCCGCCCGGCCACCCATGCGGTTCTGTTTACATTCTGCCTGACAACTACGCAACAATCTGCCTCACCACACACAGCCGCTGTTATTATTATTATCCTGGATTCTTCAAAAATTGCAAAAGTTCAAAATTTTTTCTGAGTTTTCCTCCAAGTACAGTAGATGGAGAGAGTTCATTTTCCGTAATGAAATCTGTTCAAAGAGAGATGTTGAAACAAGATCATGTACACTTGTTCGAAAATATAAATAGTTTTCACGTAATTGTGCATGAAATATAGGTAATTTTTTAATAATTATTTTCTCAAAAACATTCCTTTAAAAAAGAATGTATCAAATTTAAACAAGCACCCAATTTATACAATTTGACTGCTTTTTTTATTTCTGTGTTAATTTATATTTGTGATCAAATATATTCATTTCTTTTGTAAATAAACAATTTACTTGTTTCTGGAGTGTTTACATGATTCTGCAATGTAAATTTTTGCATAGAAAGTATTGTTTCAAACCAACTTTTGTGTGCTTATTGCAACTCAGCAATTCAGAAGATCCAAAATGTTTATTAGACAAAATATGCTTAAAGATTGTCTTTAGAGACTTGTTTTCGAAGTTTGGACATTTCCTCTCCATAGTCTAAATATAGGGACAAGTTTTATCTACTTTTCATTACTAGAGTACTGCAATAAGAGTTTCTCTGTTGAAAATTCAGTTGTTGTTTTTCCCTCAGCATTACAGTTACTTTCTCTATATAGTATAAGCAGTAGCAAGAAAATAAAAACCAGCAGTGGTCCCATTTTCAGTAAATTTTGTATTTGGGTCAATCCATTTTAAGTGGTCCAGCAGTGGTCACTCGACCATCTTGAAAAAAATGCATACTTTGCCCATAAATTCCCTTGTATTTTGGCTGTTCAAAAACATTTTTAATATTTTTTTAAATTCAAATTTGGTATACAAATGACGGCCATTTTTGTTTTCCGTTGCGTGCAATGTTTGGTGTTCATTGACCTTTACTCTTTTCTAAATTGCTCAGGGTTGTTCCAGCATTCTGGAATAAATGACTAGATTCAGTATACTCTGGCCTACAAATAGAAATATTATTTACCTAGCTTGTGTTTCTATTTGGAGAATATTGCAACCAAATCTATTGAAGAAGAAAGATCTGCAGCTTTGGAAAGAAATATTGGTGAAGTTTCCACAACTATTTTTTTTAAAAAACTGGAATTATCAATTTACTTCTCAGTTCTTGGGGTCGAGCGAAAGTAAGCAATGAATTTAGTGTGTAAATGTATGGTAAAATTAGCAAGAGACGTGGTAAAAGGAGAGGGTATTTTACATGGCTTACAAAGAAGGAAACCTTCAAAATTGCTAAGTGAAGAAACAATAAGAAAAGTTACCAGTTTTTATAAAAATGACTAAATCAGTGATATGATGCCTGGGGAAAAATATTGTTTCTCTAAAGGAAAATGGTATCAAGATTCAGAGACAAAAACGGTTAATTTGTAATTTAAATGAATTATTTTGGGAGTTCAAGAAGAACAATCCTCACCAAAGTTGTGTATAATCGCGGAGAGTTCTGGAACTCATTATAAGTGTGTGTGTTTAGATCACCAGAATATAAAGTTAATGATTGATGGTGGCAAGCTCAAAGTCAATTACAAGAACCTTTTGAAAATTCTGGTTTGCAAAACAGATAGTTTTGATTGTATGATGGTAGTTGTCAAAAATGTATGTTACTTATTTTTTTGTAGGAACTGAGGAAATTGATAAAATTAATTCTAATATCTTAGTTACAATAATTGTCAGAAAATTAATGGCACCAGAACCTTCCATTGCTTTATACCACAATCAGAAAGCATAATAAAGTGCAAGTATTCATCATCATCCACTGAAAGTGAACTTTCAGTTACGAAAGTTCAGTAGTTGTACCATTGATTCAAAATACAATACATTCTCGTTTTGAAGATTGATAATTCATTGTATTTAAAATTAACTTTGTTATTTATCATTATTTTTATATAAAGTAATCAAATGTGTGCCCTGTATTGTTAAAAATATAGTTTTCTTATGTTTTAAAAATTTAATTCTTACTCTCGTCTCCTCAAATCCTCAAAGTAGAATTGAAGTCTTGTTTTGTGTAAGTTTACAGTATAAGAAAAGACTCTGAGCTTAATCTAAAAGTTGAAATTTATACTGAAGTTTGGTATCATAGCGATCTAGTACCTATTAAGTTTCAGATTTTTATCTGGTCCCCCAACAGAGATATTGCTGTTTAAAATTTGGAAAATATTGAAAATTCCCATTTTTAAGAGGATGTAATTGTCAAGTGGTAAGTTGCTTACCATTGATATTTAACAGAAAGTATCTATTGTGTTAAGTGAAAACACACACAAAAATTTACGACAATGATTGTATTCCTTCTGAAAATCGAAATTGGTTCATTCACGTTTATTAGATTTGGTTGCAGATATTTCCCTAATAGAAAGGTTGGTAAATATTATAACTATTTGTAGGCCAGAGTGTACTGAATCCAATGTCATTTAATCCAAAATGCTAGAACAACCCAACACTTGAGTAATTTCGAGAAGAATAAATATAACACAGTTGCACATAAGACATGGTGCATGATGGAAAACAAAAGTTTGTAAACCAAATTTGATGAAAAGAAAACATTTAAAATGTTTTTGAACAACCAAAACATGAGGGAATTTATGTATGAATTTTTTTCGAGATGGTTGAGGGACCAATTTTTTAAATGTTGCACCACTTAAAATGGATTGATCCATTTGCAAAATATGAATATGGCAAAAGTACGATATTGTAGATAGAGAATTTTTATTGTAAATAAAATTTGTTCTAAAAGAAATCAAATTTTTGAAAAATGTTATATATAGTTTTTTGAACTAGTAATTTTTGCTTCATTTCTGTTTGAAGTTAATGCAATTCAGGGGGCTCTATCATTTTATTTTATTTCATTTTTTTTTAGCTATAAGTAGTTGGAGCATAAATAGTTTAATATTTGAATGATAGAATCTCTTTTAATACATTGAAAGAACTTACGTAAATGATACCTTACCTGAAGCCATGTTTCCTGACTTGAATGAAACATGTTTTCAAATTGTAAAACAAATGTACATTTAAATTCAAAACAATGTTAATTATAGCTGTATAATTTATTAACAATGGTAAGGTAGTTCATGATATAATGAATAAAAAAAATATTTAGTATTCATGATTAAAGCATTTGTAGGTCTAGAATAGCACAAAGATGATATTTAAATGTTTCTGCTGCACTCTATTGCTTCAAAAATAGTTACGCTTCGGGCACAATTGAATGCTGTGAGTCTTCACCATATAGTAGTTAAAAGTTTTAGTACCTTGTACCAAAAATTAGGATACAATGGATATTCCTTAAATACAAAACTTAAATATTCATAAGAAAGTTTGTACTTCATTTTACCTTAAAAAAGTAATGGAAATATTTAGAATTGCGGATCACAATCTTATAGAGTTAATTTTTTTGACAAATACAATAAGCTGACTCAGATTCCATGATGCATATGTTGAAGGACAACAAAACAATGGGAATATGTAGAGACAATAATCAAGGCAAATTTTTAAAGGTTGTATAGAAATGCTGGTCGAAATTTTAGTAGTAATAAATGTATGCACTTGGAGTATGTCAATATTTCATTGTAATGTTCAAGAAGTCTGATACCAAAACATGAAATATAATAAGAGTATCTATGGTAAAAAGTATTAAGAGAATTAGTTTCAGAATTTTTTGATCTTATTTTGTGTAATTTTAAAGTCTTTACAGCTATTCTGAAGTATCTATAGTGAAACTTTTGAAAGATGTATCCACTTCACAGAAGCCTTATGTTTCAGCACATTTATTCAGCCCTCGAGGCCCAGGTGGGGATAACTTCAGACCTGGAGCACCTGATGGTTTTCGTCCTTTGGGACCTGATGGATTCCGTCCATCTGGCCCAGGATTCAGACCACCTGGTCCTTTTGGCCCACGAGGCCCTCCTGATGGAATAATGCTGTCTCCTGGGCCTGACCGTCATCCTCATGGCCCCGACCACCATCCACGTGGCCCTGACCACCATCCACGTGGGCCAGATCATCATCCTCGAGGTCCAGATCATCATCCACGAGGTTCTGATCATCATCCTCGTGGTCCTGATCACCATCCACATGGGCCAGATCACCATCCTCATGGCCCAGATCACATTCCCCTTGGTCCTGATCACCTTCCTCTTGGACCTGATCACCGTCCGTTAGGGCCTGACCATCGCCCACTAGGACCTGACCATCGTCCTATTGGACCTGATCATCTCCCACTTGGACCAGATCATCCTTTGGGTCCAGATCATCCTCTGGATCATGAAGGATTTGATCATAGAGGTCATCCTAGAGATCTTTTTGAAAGAGGTCTCCATCCAGGTGATGAGGAGTTTGAACTTCTTATGCGCCCAGATGCATTTGAACATCGTGGCCCAAGAAATGATGGTTTTGGTCCCCATCATCCAGATGATTTTGATCCCCGAGCAGAAGGTTTTCCCAGGGGTCTCCATCCTGATGACTATGATCTACCTTTGAGACCAGATGAATTTGATCCAAGAGGCCCACGTCCAGATGGTTTTGATCCAAGAGGCCCTCGTGAAGGGTTTGATCCAAGAGGCTTACATCCTGATGACTTCGATATGAGACGACCACATCCCGATGATTTTGATCCACGATTCCGTGGCCTTGGCCCCAGGCCTGATTATTTTCCTCCTCGTGGCCCTGATGGTTTTGGGCCCCGAGGGATGATGGGACCTCGTGGAATGCGACCTGATGGATTTGGTCCTCGATCGTTATTAGGAAGAGGCCCAGGTAAATATTTCTTTCATAGTTTAGAGTGCATGATGTATTGTAGAATTTGCATTAATTACTATTCAAAATGTATTCAGATTCTTATTCAAATTTAAAAGATATAATATGTATAAAACCTTCTACCATTTTTAATGCAATGAAAATAAAATATTGCTTTCATTGCCTTTTAAATCTTTAATTTGTGACTAATGTTGACAACGCATAAGGAACAAACTACAGGGGTTCAAGTTTTAGTGGTATAAGCTTAATTTTACATGTTTGAAGAACATTTAGTTTTGCCTCATTTTATGATAAATTTGTACATCAAGAATTAGTTTTAGAAGCAAATTTTACTTTTGTAAGGCCTCACCTTTTTTGTGATTTTTGCTATTTGTGAATTCTAAATTTCTATGAGTAATGCGGGACTGACATATCCACCAGTGTCTTGAACTGGTAATTTTGGAAATTTTTTAATAAATTGGTCAGGCATAAGAAAGAATCAAAATAACCATTTCTGCTTACTGATTAATGATAATTTGATTGCAATTCGTTGAGTGCTACACATTTGAAAAAATGATCTTCCTCGTAAGAAATCTCTATGTTTGTATGTGGAAATAACACTTCATCTTATAGTATTGTTTGATTGAGCAAAGTATACAACTCTTCCTACTTTTAACCAAGAAATTGTTTTTTCCATTCTCGTATATGTATGTATATAAGGCGTAATGCACACACTATAAAGTTTTCTAATGCCACAGAACATTGATTTTTGTAACTTCAACAGAAATACATGTTTTGTGGTTCCATAATACCAAAATAGTGTGCTGTTGTTTGTTTTTCTTTCTTTCTCTTCTCCTCTTCCCCTTCTCCTC